TATAATACAAATAAAGATATCGTTTAATAATATAATTTTTATAAAGATAGTAATTAAGTATTTTGTTATAATTAATGATTATTTAAATGAGATGTCTATCTCATATTTGATTATGTTTATCTATAGTTAGTTACACAAATTCAAAAATGAAGCTTTAATAAGTTGTATTTATGCACAATTTATTTGTGATCTTGAATTGTAAGTAACATGCATCAACAAATAGTACTTTATGCATTAAAAATGGTTTTTAACAGTTTTTATCAAATGATTTATATGAACTTTGTGTTCCATAACATAATAGATCAAAAACAATTATATTTAAATCAGTACAAATCATAAATCAATCAAACAATGGTCAATCAATACAGTCACTCATAAGGTTGAAGGTTACCTTGAAAGAGAAGCAATCAAGATTTGAGGATGAAAAGCAATCAAGCTCCGAGGAAATAAACCTAAACCGACAAAGAACCAGACAAAAAAACCATAAAGAATTGATACGTAATGAGTCAAAAAGAAAGAAGCAAAAATCGATACAGACCATAAATCAATCAGAAGCAATGGTCGAATCCCATGAGGTTGAAACTTACTTGAAAGAGAAGTAACCGAGTTTTGGGGAAGGGAAGTTGACGGTGATTATAAGAAATATTGAGTCAAAACCACCCATTAAATATGAAATTGACAATGACTATCTACTCATTGAAAAAAAAGAGATTATAGGAACGTTAGTTGGATTAGAGAAATTGTAGGGATGAATTAAGATTTCAATGGGAGTGGTATGTTTTAAAAACATGTATGTATGCATAATTAACTTGTATTTTTGATTTTTAAGTAATGTGCATAAATTAATTGTACCTTATGCATGATAATTTGTTTTTAAGAGAATGAGCCAAATGCTTTATAATATAGTATAGATATACATACATCAACTCTAATGAATATGAAAGAACATATATTAGAGAAATTAATGTGTTAAACTAGTGGCCGGTTATCTAGGTCATTGAATCATATTTTGTCACCAATAAAAAACTTTAAGACAATGACACGTATACGTTTTGACATGACCATGTGGGACACCATGGTCATGAAATAATGATCCGTGTGTTGTAAAATACACATAGACACATTCTCTTTCGAGTGAAAGGCAAAATGCGACAATTAACCAAATTGCAAATATTGACTTCTACAACATAAGAAGCAACACCCCCATCATAACATGTCGTCTCGAATACCTAGAACTTTAGTAAACCCTGATCCTTAGCCAAGAGAGGAATGGGATCATCCTACAGCTAAGGTCATGATACAAAAAATTTCTATACTTATAGAACACAATGTGATATTCATGGACATAAACATCCAAAATGCGGACCATTAAAGTACTTTATGGTTCTGGTTTCGACACGATAAGTGCATGTTTTATTATTCTCCACATGAAATGGTGCAATCCTAGCACTAGCTATGTGTTTAAGGGCTCACCACCCTGATTATCTCAACAAGTCTACATGACTGGGAATGATGGATAATTTACATCATAAGGATTTGATGATTATAGCAGATGTATTGAGATCAATATAAAGTTTCCTATACCCTACGTGCATATATAAAATGGTCTCTTAGAAGTACTCATCAAAAGGATATAGATGGTAACTAGGGTATTAGTTATGCACGCCAATTTACCCACATCTGCCTGGGTTATGCAATATTTCATGCAACTTTATTTATTCGTTTTTAGACCACTACTGTACAACTAGTCTCATGTGTACCTGTTGGCAACTGGATATAAGCTTGATATTTTAAATTTACACATGTTTGGTTGTATAGTATATGTGCAGTTGAGCCCCCACAACGCACCAAAATGGGTCCTTAAGGACGATTTATTATTTGTTGGATATGAATCCCCAACAATTATCCGGTAATTACAACCCAAGACAGGTGACTAATTTCTTTACCAATAGATATGTGAGTTGTCACTTTGATGAGACACTCTTCTCGTCGTTAGGGAGAGATAGGAAAAAGGATTTCCACGGGAAGGATTGGAAGTGTCATAGAATATTCCCACTCTGTCTCATTTTGATCCTAAACATTTCATGTAAAGTTGAAGTCAAACGAATTAGATTCAATAAATGATACGTTTAATGTTATTCCAAAAGTGACAAGATCACATATACCAATTTTAAATATACCCACAAAGTTAAAAGTCCCCAAACAAGGGCACATCGATGCTGGAAAGTGCATTGCAATCACACATGGTAGAGGTGTGACCGAGGTCATGACTCCCAAAAGGAAATGGGGGAAGCTATTTGGTTCGATAGATACTCATCTAAAAGAAGAAAAGAGTACGACACAACCATTTATCACCAATACATAAACCTCTAATGAGATTATCTCTAATTAAACTATGTCTATAAATCATTACTGGAGAATGCTCCAAAGTTAATATTTATTCTAGATACAAAATAAATCTTAAATGAATTGTGAGGGTGCATATGAGTTGATGGACAGATCATACATACTCATTGATGATATATTTATATATACTGTTGCTCATGAGATGATAGAGCATGATGATATCAAACCATTCTCAGTAAAGAAAATGTCAACAAAGAGCAAATTAGCTTAAATGAAAAGGAGCAATCTAATAGAATTATATTATTTGACAAATGAACAAGTGTTTGGTCCGGTAGTGCTAACCCACCAAGTGTAAAACCTATAGGACATAGAAATAATGCATCATGTATCAAAGAAATGAAAGTAAACTAAATCAAGGGTGATAACACAAAGCATATTCTTCTTAAGTTTTTATACAATCAGCAATAACAAACTTTCCTCAAGATTCAAGTAAATTAAATAAGATGCAAAGAGAATGTAACATATTTGCTTACCAAATCATTGTCTAAAACC